CGCCGTATTTCCGATTTTTATGGGTGCGCGAGGTAGTACCCGAAATCTAAGAATCAACGCATCTTCGAGCATAATCGCTCATTTACTTTGTAAAAATAGTGGAATAATGAAGTGACTTGAAAATTCTGAGGATGCTGTATTTGGTGCAATTATGTACTATGCAATTTTTTTGAAAATCAAGGCCATTGTAAAAATTCAGCAGAATTCTATAAAAGAAGCTGGGAAAATATAAAATTTTGCACCAATCAAAGGTTCGCCCTATCTGCTGGTTATCAAAGCACCTTTTGAAGTGTGAAATAAAGAATCTGAAAATTAGCGAAATTTATGGTAATTATGAAAGAAAAGATTCGCCAATTATCTCAGCGCTCGTCAAAACGTAAACGTAGCTGCTAAAAAGAGGAAGAAATCCTGCATTTACTGCTTAATTCGTTCAATTTTACCGTAAAGGATTTACGGTTTGTCCAAGAAATTGAAGGATTTTTTGCACAGGACTAATACTTTTCCCACAATTAGAAGTTGAGAAAGGAAATCTGGCATGCTCTAATCGACGCTGAATTATTCTGACATAAATAGTATCATACCACAAGACTTTGGGAGTATAACAATACATGTTTAGTCTTTCTTAGCGCTGTCAAATATCAAATTTCACATAAAAAATCGAAGGCGACATTTTCAAACTTCTGGCTTATTTTTCAATTTCCAGCCACGAATAATATGTATGTATACGGCAAGTTCTTATATGTATAGCATATGCTTATATGCTTGACCAAGTTGGGATCGCAGGATCTTTTTAGACAAAAATCTGAATTTTGGACATTCAAAATATTCTAGATTTTTGACGCTCGCGTAAATCGATCCTTTTGCCATTGTTCAACTGCTATCCTGTAGAGCTTTCATTGGTCTACCAAATTGCAACTTTTCTGCGGGTTCAAGATAAGGAATGTGCATTGATCTTGCATTAATTCAATGACAAAATCTTCAACACATTCTTGCGATGAAGCGAGTTCGATGAGCAGCAACCTGCGCGACCACCTACAAGTAAAGCACAATAAATGGAACTGCTTTTTTTGACCTCAGATCAATCTTTTCAGCCAGTGTAGGAAGACACTATTTCTAATCCTTGGTTGTTTCAAATGAAAGTTAAAAGCTTATCAATCTCTGTAACTAATCGCCAAATATTAGTTTGGAACATAAGTAACGCAACTTTTTATATAACTTTCGTCTTTTTGAGCGTAGCTCATCCGTTTTCTAGCAATATAAGGATTATGATGTAAACTACAAATGCAAACATTTTGCCGAATTTTGCCGTCTTATCTAAGGGTTACGGTAGGTTTACGGTACTATGGGAAATTTTTTAGATTGCGTCAGAATTTGCTGAAACTTTGCCAGGGGGGGGGGTTACTTGTCATGCTGATCACAAAAATGAAATCCATTTAGCATGAAAAGGCCTCTTTTGTAAAATCAAAAAATGGTTGTTATTTTAGCGACAAATGAATGATATTCGTGTTTACCGTAATGGATTACCCTATTGTGCAAAGTTTTAACAAATTCTGAGGTTTCGCAGCTTGGTTATAACAGATTGCCCTCAAAATTTGACGCATTTGACTTGCTCAACTTCTCAAAAGCGCCTCGTCTTAGTTTACATCAAATTTACTTCTTTTTTACTGACCATAGTGTGTCAACCTCCAGCTACACTGCCTATGACTCCTTTATGAGATGTTTGGTACAGGTTTTGTACGACTTCATGATTGCCAAAATTCCGTAAAACCTCGATTATCAACGGTTTTCGAAAAATGCTCAAATTTTCTCGACTACGTTATCAATAATCAAACGGTTTGTCTTGCAGCTTACATCACATTCTACATGATGCCAGACAATGAGAGTGCTACATTGATTAAGAAAAAAGTTATGGGAAAAGTTGCAAAACTTATGTGCCAACCTAATAATTGGCAACGCAGTGGTGACATAGTAGGCTATTGCTGTGCCAGCGGTAGCGGTGTTATGAGTGTTCACCTTGGCCTGAGTTTTGTCCCTTCTGCCTTGCTATGGTCCTTGATAATTTCAAAAATCGGTTTTTTGCCTATGTTGTTTTATCCCTAATTTTTTTTGCGTTTTCTTCACTACCATATATTCATCTTCGCTGCAGATTATTGGCCGTACTTCTACAAACACACAAACGGTATTTTTTATTTCTCTGAAATGTCAAAGGGGTATTCGTTTCCAAAATTCTGGAATGCCACCTTGTGCTGGGACCTGTGGCGACTTCGTACCTTCGATAGAGGGATAGAGCCAAAAGTAGGGGCTGTTTGAAACCCTGATACCCATGAGACGTGAAGAAAATTTTGGTGAATAGGAAAAAAGAAATGAATGGCAACGTAAATGAAAGTGCTGAAAAGCTAAAAGAAACGCTGCTAATTTTCAGTCTGCAGCTGCAGAAAAGAGGGTGAGCGTTTTTTACTTTATCTGGTCAGAAAAAATAACAACTTTCGATTTCCCATTTCTTGACTAAAGTACATGAGCAAAATCCAAAATGAAAGCTGGTACGGACATTTTAATCTTGCGGCGGTGACAAACTTTTAAAAGCCCATGTTAGAAAGTTCCTGATAGAAAGCAGAGTGGAGAACTACTGAGTGCTGCCTTGATCAGCCCTGCAAAGGAACATTTGGGCAATCTTTTTTTAAGAAAGAGAAAATAAAGACAATTCTCTTTTTTTTTTTACGAAAATGTGAATGCAGGTTGATGCACATAAAATTTACGAAGAGGTCAACCGGTATAATTCCCATTTCGAGTTTGATCATTTGCTTTGCTTTACTCCATTGTTTTCTGCAATCTTTATGCTGTACATGAAGAAGCAACAAGATATAACAGATGAAAGGAACTATCACTGATTTTATCAACTGAGAACGGCTGCTAGAAGTTGAGAGTTGGTGTACAGAAGTTAGCGAGCATGGAGATTACTGTTTGCTAGAACTTTCGAACTTTGCTTGGTGCATACCTTGCGCTCTCCCTTATAGAGAAACTCAAAATATAAGAATTGTTCAGCAAGACATATGCTAATATATCAGATAAAGTTCACCACTTATTTTTGCATGTGGAGCAAAATTAATAATTAGAAGAAGAAAACTTTGCGTGGGACCGTACAATCTTTGGAAAACCGTATAATCATTATGGGGTGTTGAAGATAAGAGCACAATGGATCCCTATGTAAAAAAGCTCATTGAAGCTGCAAAAAATAAGTATTCGGATTGATACACCGTGGACCTTCTTTCACCCGTTCTGTATGAAACCTACAAATAAAGAACAAAAACATAATCCGCTTGGGCCCATATGCATACATCCCTGAAAAAGAGGAGCCGAGAAGTCATGATTCGTTGCTCCAAGCATATGCATATTATATGATATAATCTTCTTTGTCTTGTCTATGGAAAGATAGACAACTTTGTAACAATTGATTATCCCCTCGAGGTGGGGAAGAGGGGTAACTAACAATTTTTAAACTTGTTTCCCTTCCTATAGATTTGATAGAAACCCGTAAAGTTGCGCAAGGAATCTATTCTGGAACAGCTAGAATGTTTGATTTACAAATATTAGGTTTTCCCGAAAGTTCTTGCGCACGATTTTCAAAAATTCATAACTTCTGATTTTTCCAAATGTTTTGACTGATTTTATTTTTGTATGAAAGAGTAAATCATGCTCTTTGTAATGACACCTTAGCTGCTTACTAATGAACATTTCTTGCATAGATAGGAGCGATAGAAGAAAATCAGTCAAAATTCGAATTTTCTATGTAGGGTCATAAAAAATCGGAGACTTGCAACAAAAATCAGTCAGTATTGTAGGTTCTTTCACCAGCTCTTTCTAACGGTGCAAAGTTTGCGCCGATTGAGCGTCTCTATCAAAAGTTATGATTTTCCTGAAAAATGCCAAAATAGCGAATTTGTTTTATTTGGCATCTTTCAGGGAAATCATAACTTTTGATAGAAACTCTCAATCGACGCAATTTTTGCACCGTTAGAAAGAGCTGCTGAAGGAACCTACAATACTGACTGCTCCGATTTTTGTCGCAAGTTTCCCATTTTTTATGACACTACACAGAAAATTCGAATTTTGACTGATTTTCTTCTATCGCTCCTATCTATGCAACAGATGACCAATAGCAAGCAGCTAAGATGTCATTATAAAGAGCATGACTTACTCTTTCAAACAAAAACAAAATCAGTCAAAACGGTTGGAAAAATCAAAAGTTATGAATTTTTGAAAATCGTACGCAAGAACCTTCGGGACGACCTAATAAGTTAGATCTCAGTTAGAAATCTTGGAATTGCGTTCGCGACCTGGGTTTATCAGAAACTCGCAGCTTTTACACTGTATTTGTCCTTTAAAAGCTTATCCAGCACTGCTATGATGATCCTTACTACAACTTCAAAACGTTTCGGTTTATAAAAAGTTAAAGAACACGGTTCTTTGAGGATTTTCCGCGGAATCACCCAAAACAATAAAAATCCCAGTTTAGCAATGTCTTGGCATTCATTATGCTCAATTGGGTGCGAGAATTTTCATAGGGCAGATATATAAACGAGTATACAAATTTTTAGTGTAGCGAGATACGACTCTGACTCCCATCTCAGCGGCCCTCCCTTCCACAGCGGAAAATGTATACATGCATACGGAACTTAATTCTCTATATTAGCACCTCACACAAGCTCAATAAATTTTTGTTGTAAATGAGCGTATTTTTGATTAGTCTTTCTGAAGTTACGCCTATGCGTTTGTTTGTCCTTTCTCCTCCTCTCCCCTTCCTCCATATCGCTTAGACAATGGCGTGTCAGTCTTTCAATCACCTTTTTTCTATTTTTCAATGGAAGTGCTGGGGTGTTGGGGATGCAATTTCTTAGTCCATCTAAACTTGAGCGCAAATCATAAAAGACGGCAAACATCCGTGAGCTACAGACGAAAGCAAAAAATTCACGTCTCTAATAGCAATCTTTTTTTTCACTTACCTGTACATGCACACCGTTTTGCTTATCTATAAAAGAGATATACTGCGAGCTAGGAAGTTGAAGACTCATGATTTGTATTTCCCATAACCATAACTCGACTTTGTTTTTCTGGAACAAAAACATTGATTTAGCACGGTATAATGTATCCAGATGAAAACACGAACAATCCAACCAATTTTATAATATCCTTCGAAGTAGTACTCCCCAGGAAAATTGAATGATGACTTTACGCCATCCTCAATAAGCTTCCGTTGTCCATCGTAAAGCTTCAAAATTCCCGGCGATATCGTCAATGTTAAAAGATAAGTATTCTCATTTGTAGAGTTGACGTGGATGTCGCTACTGAAATGAAAATTTATTTAGGGTCCATTCTGCAGCTATCAGAAGTTAGCATAGGAAAACGTTCAAAGGATGCAAGAGGAATGAATGTTTGAATTGTTTTCAAATCAATATTAGACAGGATTTTCCACGATTCGTGAGAATTCTACGCTTTGTGCGGTTTCGAAAAGTAAAGGCATCTATTGTGACTGCTTTTCCTGATGCGCACTGTTTAGCATGAATAGTGCCACGTATATATGAAGTGGGAAAAACATATGGAGTGGGAAAATGCCAAAAGGAACGTCCCAGAAAAGTTCAAGCAACTTCACCCAGGAGCTTGGCCCACCTTAATGAAGGTATTTGTAAGTCTGAAAGTTCTTTTTTTTTCAACTATCATGAAAAACGGTGGAATAAAGTCATAAAAAATTTTACGCAGCTTTTTTTCCACTATATCGGTTTTCTCTTTGAAAAATTTATTAGGTTGTCCGGAAATTAATGCAGGTTTTGAATTCCAACCGCAATAAGTTATACACTTCTTATTTCTAAGTAGGTTGCAAAAACTATTCTATAGAACAAAGCAAGCTCTACAAGATGGCTATCTTGCTTTAGCAACAGCTCTGATCCACCACCAGTTTCGAGCCAAAAACTAGAAAGATTCAATTGCCCGAAAAATTGAGAAAAATCGTAATTTAGTTCATAAAAATCCTACAAAAATTCTAACTTGCTCACGTAAGCACAATCCACATAAAGCATCTATATACGCCGTTGCCGTATTTTTTCTCTGTTAAAAATCAGGAAAAGAGAAATTTTCGTGCATTTGACAAAGTGGTGCTGTGCCGTTCCCACATAAATAGTTGTATAGTACAAACCTTTAAAAGTTCCATCGTAAATTTCCAGCTCCCTACAAGCTTTAGTTCTCGAGAAATCTAAATTTTTGCTTGGACCACATGACTAGGGAAAACTGTATTCGATATTTCTCGAGAACTAAAGCTTGTAGAGAGCTGGAAATTTGTGTTTTTACTTCTAAAGGTTTGTACTATACAACTACTTATGTGGTAACGGCACAGCATCACTTTAGCAAATGCACGAAAATTTCTGTTTTCTTGATTTTTAACAGAGAAAAAAATACGGCAACGGCGTATATAGATGCTTTATGTGGATTGTGTTTACGTGAGCGAGTTAAATTTTTGTAGGATTTTTATGAACTGAGTTACGATTTTTTTCAATTTTTCGGGCAATTGAATCTTTTTAGTTTTTGGCTCGAAACTCGTGGTGGATCAGAGCTGTTGCTAAAGCAAGATAGCCACCATCTTGTAGAGCTTGCTTTGTTCTATAGAATAATGTTTTGCAAACTACTTAGAAATGAGAAGTGTTTAACTTATTACGGTTGGAATTCAAAACCTGCATTGATTTCCGGACAACCTGATATGTTGCGTCCACTGCAATAATCGCCGAAACCTCGAACCCATACTTTATAGCGTGTCCACTTTTAACAAATTTTCTTAATTATTTCAAACTCATTTAAACCTTCAAGTCAGGTGGATGGAACAAATACGTTGAAATATGATGCATTTCTGGCCTTCAGCTTCCTTTTCCAAATTTTTCTGTCAGTGCTCTAATTAAACCAAATTCCATGTATGCCCAACTGAAACCGCAAAAAGCATCAAACGGCAACTTGATGAGATTCGAAGCAGTTTTTTTGTCTTCTCTCTGAAGATGTTCTCCCTTTCCCAGGTAAAACCTGTGGGACATATCATATATCCAGCTTCTGAATGCTCCATGTTGTATACCAGAAGAATGCGAGGTTCAAAGTTTCGAGGCAAAAAACGCAAATCCTTTGTTGAAATTAGTGTCCAAACTAAAAGATTATAGGGAGTTACAAATTCCGAATTTTTGTTGGTGTTCGAAGCGTTTGCGTCTTTCAAATTCAACTTTGTGATTAAATTAAGTTACTGTATCTCACCTTGTATACTTTATCCAACCCACATCAAAGCTCTTTCAGAGAGTTTGAAATGCAAAGTTACCAAAATCATGAGCTTGTTTGGGATTATTATACTGACTGCAAGAGGTAGCTCAGGGAATGATGCTGAAAAGGGAAGGCAATTTTTGTCAAAATGTTTTATCAACTTTAGTCCACGTGTTTTTATAATAGGTTTGGAAATGGAAGAATCTACTGTTTGCTATATCTTTAATGTCAACGAAGTAATCTTATTTAGTTAAAATGAAACTTATACAATCCATGTACCAGAAAAATTGTAAGTGAATAATTGATAAGCACAAGAAGTTTTGCGCTAAAACTAGGCTACTTTACAAAAAGAAAAAGAAGGAAGAATAGCTGATAACGTTTTCTTAAGTCTTTGGAGGCGCCCCCGAGAAAATCGCAGCAAGCGATTAGAATCGAAGTCTATGTCAGTTCTTCATTCAGACATCTTCATCGGTTAGAGCAAGTCAAAATAGGAACATGTTACTTAAATGATCTAACACATTCTCAAAACTCGTACTTGTGCCCCAATTTAGACGGCTTGTTTAGACGACTATCTTATGTATAAAGCTGAATATCTGTTTGTCTGTATGTATGTTTGTCTGTCTGTCTGTCTGTCTGTACGTATGTTCCGAATAGAAAATTCCATTTTTGAACCGATCCGGACCAAATTGCACGCATACACTTCCGGCCCCGGCGGGTGTCATAGGTTACTTTTCGTCATCGATCGATATCGATTTCATCGATTTTTATCGATTTTCTGCTGAGTTCAACTACGGGGCTAGGATTTGGCACAGGGGGGGGGGTAATCGAGCATGCTGATTACGAATACAATATTGTCGGATGGCGCGGATCACCGACCTACCGATCTCCGGTGTATAGGTGCAAATGCAAATGGAAGGACTGCGCAAACTACAAAATCTACCTCTTCGATACACGGGAGCCCTGGATTGTTTTGTTTCGCTTCATAGGACCCAAAATCTGGTGTTACATTTTGGTTCAAAAGTACCTAGATTTCTTAATGTTGCTTTTTTTGAGGATTTTTTGGATTGTGGTTAGGATGGATCCCAAACGCCAGCGAGTTGCACTTTTGAACATGGCTGACATTGCTACGTATGATTTTATGAGGCACAAATTGCTTGGAGACTTCAGTTTCCGTGTAAGTTTAGCATGTTCACACGAAATCGTCGTAAAGCATAAAACATTACTGTCGACATTTCTTTTTTCTTTGTGATAACTTGCAAGTGTTATCTCTGTTGCCACTATCTGCTCAGTAACTATCACTTTGGAGCGCGTTTGATTACATATTCATGTAAATCTTTGTTATTCCACCGATCATTGTCTTCTCACTATAAGTGCATCTTCTTTGCGTCCATGATTACTGACTGACTATAGGACAATTGGTTCACGCACGCGGTTTCTAGCGCTTGTGCGGGGTATCGGCTGCCATAGTTTCACTGCCGTCAGACGTTGTCAAAACAAGGATGATGGAGCAGATAAGGCATGAACATGACGCCAAAATGTACGTTTTTTTTAAATCGGTGGGAAATGGGGGCGCCAAAATTTAGAGGAACATTTCAATAAATTCTTTAGCTGTACAGTTTTTTGCCTTGTAAGAATTTTATCCTTGTAGGCCCCATGTCAAGAGTACCATCCTCGAACTCTACAATGGCTGCATAGACTGTTTCATCAAGATAGTTCGTCATGGGGGGTCCTAATTATATTAGAATGGCACCATGGTCACTGGCATTTTGGGTTTCTTTCGAAGAAATCCGGAAGTTCGTAGGGACTCCTAGTTTCTAGGAAGTTTCTTTGTCTTATCTTTTTTGAAATTTGTTAGTGCTGAATAAGCTCACCTCAGGTCAGCGCTCATAAAGTACGGGTAAACAATATTGAGTGCTGTCTTTGCATTTAGTTACTCATTGCTTAGTTATTGCTTAGCTATTGTTCTGTTTTTGGTAAAATACCTCATGACCTACTTGCTTGACACTCTTTTGCTAACATGAGATCTATATAGTGCCATGTCATTACTTCATCATGCCATTCTAGTCACCTTTCTAACTCCTTCTTTCTTTTATGAAATTAAAATGTATAATTGTCAGTGAGCTTTGAAGTTCGGCTGTGATCTTACGCTTCAATAACTGTTTTCTTTGCGTAGTATGAGATATCTGTGTCTGAATGTTTAGGCCGTACATATATCTTGTTTTGTATGTTTTCCGCCTTCTGTAATTCGTTGGGAATAAATTTATGATCTGATTTTCTTGTCGCTATTGAATGATGCTAGCTACAGTATGCCTTTGAGAGTCATGCGGAGCACAAACGGGAGGTCTCCGGAGCACAAAATGGGACGGCTGCGGAGCACGAGTGGCGAACCCGCGGCGAGGAAACCCCGCGGCCTCCCCTTTTGCCCTGCGCAGGTATCCCATCGACTGTCTGAGGTCTTGATATTCTCCCTTCCCCTAGCATTTTTTTCGTTTGCTTACGTAGGCATGACATGAAGGCCCTACCAAGCATGATTAATAACATGTTCGCAACTATTTCAAATAGCTCGTGTGGGCCAAGTTTTGACGAATTTTGATTCCCAATGATAAGCCACTCATGTACTCAATGCAAAGCACTACCCCTTGTTTGCCAAAACCATGAATTCTTCTGTAGAGAACCATCAAACTATGGATTTAGGAGCCGGCTGAACTTTCGCTTGTCTCATAAAAGCTTACAGTGGTTGTGCTTCCAGCAACTCTTGCTAAAAAAAGACGAGTTCAGCTCTAATCACTTCCACTATATCTGCTTTTTATTGTTGCTACTGCTTAAGTTTTTTCTTCACAAGATATGAACATTTAAGATCGTTTTTTCTAGGGGAAGATACAGTCGTTATTCCTTACCTATGCAAACGAAAATTACTTGGGAAATATTGAGTTACGGTGACATGCTATCTGTGCAACTACTTGAATCACGAGGGAAAACTACATTCGATGCCTAAGCCTCGTAATTTACACAAAAGTGATTTGAACCTGATTGGTCTTTTCTGATCTGACATACTGAAAGCGAAATTTGGATCAAACATGGCTTGGTCTTAATTCCTTAGTTTGGAGGTTATTCAAGCAGGGATTCCTAATGTAAGCAAAAAGTAGTGGTACTTCGTACTTCTTAATTTGAGTGCAGGAAGAAGTAGTTAACTCGCTTTTGAAACAAAGTTACCATGTTGAAAATGACCATTTCACTGGGGTGGCTCAATATTTGACAACTTCAGAAATCGCTAAAATAGGACCCACAAGGGTTATTTGACATTCTAACCACGGCAAGATGCTCTTATGCTTTTAGGGCTTTTTTTATTATGTTTACTGTACATAGTGGTAGGGCAAAACATCACTGTGGTGGTATTTCGCATGGTGGGTTTACCTAGCACTGCTAACGAATATCGTATTATCGCTAAATCGAGTCACCTCGATGAACGACCTCCCCCCCCCCTGTCCCAACACGACCTTCCAGGTGTGGCTTGCCACACCCTGTGCTTGGCACTGGTCAGAATTCGCAGTGGTCAATCCAAGCAAGCTGCCTACCATTCGATGCAGCATTCAATGCTGTCGAATCTGTATTTCATATCTGCTTAGCGCTTTTGTGCACGAACTTATGCACAGTTCTATCGCGAAAAATCGCACATAGGAATTGCGGAACTGAGCACACTATTGCACTTTTCGCTCACCTTCAGGCTTTAAGAATATACAGTAACCCAGCTGCGTGTTTTGGCCCAACATTAAAGGCAGCGGCTCGGCAGAATGACAACATTGGGATATTCATCGTTTTGGGTTCCCCTAGACGAGCTGAGTCCAACACTGTGCTTGAAATGGTATCAAAAACCCGCTTTTCTAGACTTGAAAGGCGCTATTTTTGGGCGGACCGCGTAATTGCCTAAAGCGCGATTGGTTCGTGAGTGGAGATACTGTACCTACCGTACTCATGAGCCAATCGCGCTCTAGAGGGCAGTTACGCGGTCCGCCCAAATACAGCGCTTTTCACGTCTGGAAAAGCGGGTTCTTGGTAATTTTAAGCTGCAAAGCACAGTGTTGGACTTAGCTCGTCCAGGGAAATCCAGAACGATGAGTATCCCAAATCTGTCATTCTGCCGAGCCGCTGCCTTTGAGCCAAATAGGCTCTGTACTGAAATTTGCGCTTTGCATGCACGACTTTTTTAATAACGGCCTTTAACGGCTCATAGCTTCGCCCACAGAGGCGCCAAGCAGATATGAAGTACAGACTCGAAGTCAACGGTTTATGCTGCATCTAATGGTGTGCGTGTTTGGATTGGCCACTTCGATTTCTGACCATTCCCTTATTAGCCGAAAACGGTATACGCGGCGCAAGAATGATCAATGTCAGTTTTAAGAATGTTTTTGCGCCGATGCGATTTTTCAGCCTTCATGACTATACGAACACCTTAATAAGCTCCTTCTTTCACTCAAAACTGCAAACTTTTGCGTCAAAATTTTCCGCTGAAGCTGCCATAATAAAGTCTGAAATAGCTACACTTTGAACCCAGAGCAGTTCAAAAAGAAGAGCGTTACTTTTTTAGAGATGGTTCAAAATGTTTATGGAGTCAGCGCGCTCTGAAAACTTCCGTTTTTTTGTGGTCTAAGCACACAAATCAGCTTCTACCAACGCTATGAGCTAAATTAAGCTTTTTCGATGAATAATTTGTTTGATGCTTCGAAAATCCATGTGTACTGTCGCGTTTTCCAACCAAGTTCTAACTTTATCCTAGAGTTAGCGCAATTTCGGACCTCAGAACCCATGTTCTGTCTCGCGCAAAGATTTGCGATAAAGCAACCGCCCTCACGATGATGTCCGTGCTGAAGTTCTTGGTGTTTTTACAGGGTTGAATTTTGAAACTTCAGAGCTGAAAACCAAGGAAAGGGTATAATTGCAAGAGCAAAAACGTGGTCTTGGTGAAATGACGCGTGCCTATCTAAAAGAATTGCATAGGATAAGGTTAGAACTTGGTTTTTTCGAAGCGTCACACAAAATCTTATATATAAAGCTGAATGTCTGTTTGTCTGTCTGTACAGTCGATGTCAATTACGTACTCCCTTTTGCATGGGAACCAGGCATGCGCAACGCAAGGGCTCTGCGCGCAAACCTCCAATCGATGAGGCCAATTTGAGTGCCCGAACCATACGCGCGCGAACGTAGCGAGGAGCTCCTTGCGCTTGCGGAAAAGGGAGCACGTGTTTAACACAGATTGTATGTATGTACGTATCCGAATAGAAAATTTTATTTCTGGACCGATTCGGACCAAACTTTGCACACATATACTTCGGAGCCGGGAGGGGGGGGGGGAGGGTATTACAGGCTACTCTTCGTCATCGATCGATATCGATTCTATCGATTTTTATCGATTTCTTTGCTGAGTCAACCTACATGGCTGGGAGTTAGCACAGGGGGGTAATAGAGTATGCTGATTACGAATACAAAAGTGATTTCTGAAATCACCCTTTAGTTTTATCGATTTTATCGATTTTTTTTGCAATGTTTGGGCTACAGGCTGGGAGCTGGCACAGGGGGTAATCGCATGCTGATTACAAGTACAATATTAGTTTTTGAAGTCATCCATTAGTTTTATCGATTTTATCGATTTTTTTGCAAAGTTTGAGTTACGGGGCTAGGAACTGGTTAGAGGGGTAATCGAGCAGGCTGATTACGAGCACAATATTAGTTTAGCGCTATTCGGCTACCTGGCCCCCAAGTTTTTTTGCCTTAGAGCTTGCTCAAACTTCGCCTATAAGGGTTGTCTTACATGCTGATTACAAATATCATGCTTTCTCCGCAGAACGTCTCCCCGTGTAGTTACGGTAGGTGTACGGTAGGAAGTCAAAATCCTGAACTTGGCTGGAGTTTGGTCCAGAGGGCTTATTCGACATGCTGATTACGAATATCATACTCTCTCTGCATATGGGACCTTTTCATAGAGTTATGGTGGTCATACGGTATGAGATCGAAAACACAGATTTGCTTTGAATTTCATCTAAGGTGGTCACCGAACATGAATTCGTGCTGAATTCGCAGGATAACGCCATTTTCTTGGGTTATGATGGGTGTACAGT